ATAGACACTAGGATAGATGACAGACACTCTTTCTGGTCAGGGCTCACCTCGTACGCAGCCTTAGTTAACCCCCCTAGAGCCACAGCCGGTGGAGTAGCGATCCTCTGTAGTGACGACAGTATCACATTACATGACACGGAGCTTCACCCGTCGGGTAGAATAGTCAAGACAGAAGTTAAGGGTACGGGACTAGATCTCACATTGGTAGCTGTTTACCTCCCATCGCACATTACACCTCGCTCCGCTTTTATCAGGGACGCGCTTGGTCCAGTCATTGACGAAGTCTCGCCTTCCTCTCACCTTCTTATCATCGGCGACCTGAACTTGACGGATGATCCAAAGCTGGACCGATCTTCAGGCTCAGGCTCGTCGGCTGAAAATGAGAAGCTCCTCCTGCGCTGCACCACCTTCCAACTTTCCGACGCTTTTCGCACTCTGCATCCAAGAGACAGAGAATACACCTTCTACGCGCACTCGCATCGCTGCAGCACCCGCATTGACCGCGCGCTTGTCTCACAATCGCTACTAACTCACATCTCTATCGCCAGACATGACATGCCGAAGGAGCCTATCTCGGATCATGGCTTCGCGATTCAAGTCGCTTTCCGTCTGGATGAGAAAATCTGCACGGGTCCGGGCATCTGGAGGTTACATGCCTCAATGGTACGGAGGCCGGGGGTGCGGAAGATTATTGATGCTACAGTCCGGAGAACGCCTGTAAATGACGGCAGCAGTTTCGAACTCCTGATTGCTCGTCTGGGGGCTGGCTTACGGGCGTACGCAAGGGAAGAAAGTAAACGGGTTAAGAAGACGCTGGCTCATCTGGTCAGCAGAGTTGCGGCGCTGAAGCAGGGGTTGATGGGGAACCCTGGCTGCAATGTTACACGGGAAGCGCTGGCAGCTAAGGAGCTGCAACTGAAAGCATACCAGGAGGCTCGAAGAGAGAGATTGCACCTACAGGCCGGGTTGTCGAAGGAGATGACTGGGGAAGTTGCCTCGAAGCACCTGTCTGCAAAGGTCCGGGCAAGGAAAGCCCGTACACAGATCAAGGAGCTGAAAGAAGGAGGTAACACGGTGACCGGTGTGCAGCAAATTCTTGGTGCTGCGTCGGATTTCTTCAATGATATTTTCCGCAAGGATCGCCGAACAGATTTCTCAGACTGGAACTTCAACCCGAGTAGACGCCTGGGGAAAGAGGCAGAGGCGATGCTGATGGCGGACTGGACAGAGCAGGAGGTGAAGGAGGCCTTCACGTCAATGGCGAGGAATAAATCACCCGGAGGAGATGGTCTTCCCAAGGAGCTGTTTGAGTGCCATTGGGACCTGCTGGGGGGGAGCTTCATGGCGCTGGTTAGAGATTTTGAGAAATCAGCATCCCTTCCGGCGGAGCTTAAAGAGGCGGTCACAATTTTGCTACATAAGAAGGGAGATCGCGACCAGCTAAATAACTACCAGCCAATTACTCTCCTCAATTTCACGTACAAGGTGTTGGCCAAGGTCACCGGATGAAGCGGGTTTTACATCATGTCATCTCACCGGAGCAATGCGGGTTCCTTCCGGGAAGGCGACTCTCAGACGCGGTTGCGCTGGTTGCAGACATCATTGATGTGGCGAAAAATGAAAAGGCCGACTGGTATTTGCTGCTGGTTGACTTTCAGAAGGCTTTTGATTCGGTGTCAAGGGATTTCCTCTTCCAGGTGCTGCGGAAAATGGGATTCCCGGAGCGGTATGTTGGCTGGATTGAAGGCCTGCATGAAAACACCACGACGAAGCTCCTGGTCAATGGCTGGTTAGGAGACGGACTGAATGTGGCTTCGGGGGTCCGGCAGGGCTGTCCGCTTGCACCCTACCTTTTTCTGTGTGCAGTGGAGCCGCTGGCTCAGGAAGTGGAGAAGGAGAAGCTGGGGCTCAGTAAGGAGGGGCAGCAACTCAGCTACCTTGGATATGCTGATGATACTACGCTAATCCTGCAAGGAAAAGAGCAGATCGTTAAAGCGGAAGAGATTCTGGACAAATTTGAGAGAGTAGCTGGGCTGGCTACAAACAAAGGGAAACCGGTGCTGCTACCTTTGGGTGTGAACATCGGAGCAGTGGCAGATGGCACGTCTAGTTTCAAATGGGCGGGAGCAGATGATGCGGAGCGCCTGCTGGGCGTGTGGGTGACTCCTGCTGGGAACGGACAGAAAACATGGGAGAAGGCGTTGGAACGCATCGCTGAGAAGCTGATAAAATGGAAACAGAAGTACCTGACGACAGCGGCACGAGCGTCGGTGGTGAATTGCTACATTACCCCGCTGATCGCCTTCCAGGCCCAAGTTTTTCCGCCACCTGCAGGCATCTGGGAAGATTTGGTGCGAATGCTACACGGATTCACGTCTGGAAACAGGGTGTCGTCAGCAAAAGGCTTCTTCCTCTGGAGTAAAGTGTTGCTGTACACCACGAGAGCAGCGGGTGGAATCGGAGTAAGAGATCCAGAGATTGTTATTACCTGTTTGGCGGCAAGGAGAGCGGGGCCGTATATCACGGAAGGCAACAATCTTAAAAAAGACCTGATGGTGCGGGCGGCGAAGCTTCCTCTGGGAGTGGAGACTTTTCAAGCGCATGAGAAATTGTTCAAACACTGGGAAGGTGGCAGCATCCGGTGGAAGCAGACATGTGAGAGCTTCTCTGGCTCACCGTTGTGTCTGCGGGAATCGGCTATGACGAGGGATGGAATCCTACGCGAACGGGTGGTTTTCAACAAAAACATTTTGCTGCGTGGCACCACGCCGATCGGAGGACAGAAAGACGGCAGGAAGCTATGGGACCTGCGTGTGGGGGATTTGTTCGCCAGGAATGAAGCAGGGGTGCTGGAGCAAAAAACTGTGGCGGAGCTAACGGTGGTTCTGGGCAGTAACAGTTCGGCGAAGCTAGCGTTGAAGGCAGTTGGTGCTCTTCCCGCCATGTGGTACAGAGAGTTGGGGTTTCCGACCGTTCTCCCCAGCTCGGCTGACTCCCCTCAGCTGCTGAACATTTTGGCGGACGGGCGCATTATTCCCATGAAGCAAATGAGAGAGGGGTGGAAGGAGGCTCAGAAGGAGTCATACAAGCGCGCAAAATGGGCGGCAAGATGGGGGGAAAATATCAACTGGAAGAAGGTGGTGAGCACGCGTGACTCCTTGGCTGTCCCCAGCCGTCCGCGGGATGTGCTCACCCGCATCCACGGTCTAAATCTGCAGGTGGGGGAGCGTCTGGCTTTCCTCAGCAGTAAGCCGGTTTGCCCATACTGTGGGGAAACGGAGACGCTGGAACATTGCCTGGTTCTTTGTCCCAGAGTTCAAGTGATCTCCACGGCTCTTCGGCGCGCTCTGGGCATGCTGAATCCTGGCCGCACAACAGACTCGCTGGGTGCTCTTCTGTTCCGTGACACTGGCACCAGCTCAGCTTTTCCGGAGATGACGCTCACATCCAACGCTTTGCACCAATTGTGGCTCGAGCGATGTGAAGCTGTCTTCAGAAGGCAGAAATTCCAGACCCAACGAGTCCTACGTCGGATTGAGGTGGCTTTTCGGCAGCACGTGAAACTGTACATTCACAAGTTCGGGCCGACGTGGCGAAAACAGAGGCAGCGTGGTTCATCGGAGGAGTGGAACATGCTTGAGAGGATCAAAGTGGATGGCAAGGTTTTGAAGTGGACAAATGGTTTTGCAGCAATCTGGTCGACAAGGAGGGTCAGGAGCAGACCCTAGAATCTTATCTGGAGCAAGAGGTCCCCTCTAGCTCCTCACGCACGGTTACGACCGTTCTTGTCAGTATATACTTGTCCTGTCGGTGTATACTTACAATTATCATAAAAAAAAAAAAAAAAAAAAAAAAAAAAAAAAAAAAAAAAAAGAGCAAAGAAAGGACGGAGAAGGAGAGAGATGAGCGAGGGGAAGGAAGAGGCGCAAAAGTGCGGTTCGATCAGAAGTACCATTGTGCTACTCATTGCGACTCGGCAAAGCTGAAGCGAGCCTGCTGCGGCCAGTGTCGTCATGTGCTTGTGAGGAATGCGGGAATTATCAGGCCGTCTCCTGATGCGACACATGCGACCCGGCAGATTTGAGGCGAGGCTATCCGGGCAGTGACCGTCACGTGGATGTGAGGTCACATGGGGGTTAGGTCACGTGGGTGTGAGGACGTGGGTGTGAAGGTGAGGAGGTCACGTGGGTGTGAAGAACGCCTTGATCGTAATGGCGGCCGACGTTGCATATCTTCGTAGCGCAACGGGTATTTCGGGTTAATATATGGATAACATGTAGTGACGCAGAGAGGGCGAGAGGCAACCGCGCGAAACGCGGAGCTGCGAACAGCGACGCCATGGGTAAGGAGTGGCGTTGGATCAGAGTGGCGAGTCGGCTGCAGTGCCGTCTGTTTCACGTGCCGAAGGCAACGTGAGAACACGATCGCCATGCGCGAGAAGGATCGAACCGTAAGATCCTGACTGAAGGATGGCGCGGGACTTGAGCAGCTAGGTTTGCGATCGTACTTCTAGGTTTGTCAGGTAGCAATTCTCTTCCCGCCTCGTATAATCAGCAGGTGATAATCAGCGTACCCTATTGAGAATACGATAAGGGAGGTGATTGTAATGCTACTACTGGTGTTGAGTAACTAGGGAGTTAGGAGAGTTGTATAGAAATTTGTACAAATAATATTTTACAAAACACGAATAAATAGCAACTTGGTGTGGTAAGCAAGGCATCATGATTTTTTCAGAATTCAATGCCATCTGATTACAGTCAAAAGGATACCCGTTTCCTTCGTCAAGTATATGTTGGAATGGAATGGAGCCTGCAGGCATCCCAAGGAAGAACGGCCTGTATGTGGAGGTCCAAGGGCTGAAACAGAATTTGTATGGTCAATCATAACCTGGACCCCGATGGTATCAAGCTCAAGAATTCCTTGAACAGATTAGTCGAGTCACGCCCATCCACACTGAGCGGCTGAGCCTATGACCAACAGTGGAACGCGGAGCACCACCATCATCTCTCAGAGTAAAGGCCATGTCGGGCCAAGGAAGCAGCATGGGGTTGGCAGAGAGCTGGTAAAGCACCACCAGTGGGGAAGGGCTGCTGCAGCATGGCTGGGCGTGGCTGTATGGGAACTTGCATGTGCGAGCTCCTTGGATTCGAGGGCGTGTTCAATGCACTGGGCACAGCATAGAGGAGTGGTTGAGTAGGGGCTGACTGCATAGGAGTTTGGGAGAGCGGCTGCAGCAGTTGGCGGTGTGAGAGAATGCGCTCCAACTCTCCACGCCCACAACCCTTCAGCTGCCGGTGTTGGTGCCGCTGAGCACCTCCCTCCCAGGCCCCTCCCTGCTCCACCGCCCACTCAGGCAGGCCTGCTCCAGCAGCACCAGGGGCTGCCAGCGCGTGTTGCTGAGGCCCACTCCCGCAGTGCTCGGTGAGGGTACGCCCACCCAGCAGCATGTGAGCCACAGGCGTGTCGAGAAAGAGAGCCTCGTCGCCGTTGCCGTTGTTGTTGTTGGCGTTGCTGTCGTTGCTGTTGTTTCCGTTGGCAAGCATTTCAATACATGCGTCCAAGTATTCCAGCTCATGTGTCGCACAATCACTCCCGAGAGCGCAGCCACGCGGAGCAGCAAGCATGGAGGGCATAGGCGCTGGCAGCGGAGTGGGCGGAGGAGCCGAGGGAGCAGAGCACGGCGAGAAGGCAGGGCCCTCGCAGCAGAGACCCAGCAGCACGTCGTCTGGAAGAGCACTCTCCGACCCAACGCGAGGCCACTCCACTGGCTGCAATGAGAAATACCCAAAGCAGGGAGCAGAATCCCCGCAGCAAAGAATGGAATTGCCAAAGCAGAGAGCGGAGCCAGGCGGAGCAGTGAGTTCGGATGGCATTGGCGCTGGCAGCACTATACGTGGATGGGTGGGCGGAGGAGCAGACAGAGCAGCACGTTGCGTGAAGGTAGGTTCGGCGCCGGTGAGTCCCAGCAGCACGTCGTCTGGAAGGGCACTCTCCGACCCAACGCGCGGCCACAACACCCGCTGCGCCCTGCTCCTCGCTCCTCCCGGCTGCTGCTGGCGATGCTCCTCCTGCAGCAGAGCCTCCATAAGGGCTTCGTCCTCTGCCTGCTGCACGCCGCTGCTCGCCCCCCCCTGCTGCTGCACGCACCTGCTCTCCCCTTGCAGTTGGAACTGCTCCGCCACTGACTGACGCCGGCGCTGCGTGCAACACGACACCCCCTCGCACCGCATCCCCCCTCGCACCATCCCGCCACTCATCACCCCGCCTGGCATCAACCGGCTCTCACGTCCGCGAAGCAGCGGCTGGTCTGCCCCCAGTCCGGCGCAGTCGTCCCTTGGTCGCTTCACTGGGCGGCGCAAAGCAACAGCGTTGGAGGTAGCAGCAACGGGGAAGGCATCATGGGCGCATGTAAAATCCAAGGTAGAAGCAGCGGCAGTAGCAGCAGCAGTGAAGGTGGCGGCTTGAGAAGCAAAATGAGTAGCTTGAGAAACAGGAGGAGGGCTGGCGAAAGATGGGAGTTTGGGTGGGAGAGCTGGGTGGCGGCAGCGTGCGTTGGGGGCGAAAAAGACGGCCGTGCACTCGTCAAACGACAGCCCTCCGAACGCGAGCTCAGGTGAACCCACGCCCGCACGCTGCCACTGCTGCTGCTGCTGCTGCTGCTTGAAATTCGGAAAGAAAATCGGCTGACTGTGTCCGTCCAATGAAGCGCGCTGGAGGGATGCAGCATCATCCAGGTGCTTTCGCAGAATGTTGTTGCGAAAGCGGTGAGTGAACTTCCTGTCGCCAACACACGGCCACAGAGCAGAGGTGTTACGAAAGGCTGAGGCGTGTAAGAAATGCTCAGGCATCTCAAGAAACCGGAGTTGATTCAGGCGTATCATGAATGTGGCATGCGGGGTTACCTTCGGAGGAAGATGTAACGGTTACAGCACGACTTGTTGCTCCTCTTGAGCTGACCGCTCCTTCCCAGATCTCCCCACTGCTTCGTGCCGCACTGCAGCGCGTGGCGCAGCAGCACCGCGTCCTCCTGCCGTGAGAGCGCGGAGGGAATGGCAGCGTAAGTGCGGCGTTGTGAATGCCAGAAGCATTGAGTATCACACCCTGGAAGTGCGCGGCTCAAGGCATAGAACGTCCTGACGCACAAAGGTAATCTAATCCCAACGACATGGCAAGAAACTAGTAATTGCAAGAGTGAATGTCAAATCCAAGAAAATCCGGGTATTTTTGAAAGATTCTTCTCACATCTGCGCAACCCACCTCGTGCGACCATGGCTGCATGCCGAGCGACGCGGATTGAGAAGGCGGCGAGTTAACGATCTCAGAGGACTGCGGCATGGCGGCGATTCCGCGGTTCTTGAAAGCTGTAGAACTGTTATCTTGAAGTGCACTCAGTGAACTGGCACGAGAGCACGAATTCGAGTCCTCTCAGAATTCAGCTGGCAGCGAATCTCGAAAGATGATGGTGAGAAGGGCCATGTCGCACGTCTATACCCATCTTGGTTCGAAACCGGGCTCATAGATTCGACGCGATGACTCGCTTACGCTACCGTCTGTACCGGCTGGAGCAGCAATGCGGCATATGCACAAAGATCTTGGCTCGATTGTCGTCTGGGTGGGTCCAGCCGCCTGAGACTTTTTTTTATTGCTGCCTCGGCCCGGAGTGGAAAACAGGCCTTGGTTTACGCGTCATCATCATCGTCATCATCGGAGGGAGGGAGGGATGCTTTCGTGACGGCTTTCAGGCGCAGCTGTCGAGACTCGCCCGGCATCAGTAGGTGTGCGACGGTGGGGAGGCTCGAAGGCGGGGATGTGCGACGGATGTGCGACGGATGTGCGACGGATTTGCGAGGGATGTGCGAGGGATGTGCGAGGGACGAGATGCCGCAGCGGTGAAGTGTGGGCCAAGTGGAGTGGAGGGAAGGGCACGGATTGAACGCAATCATTGCGTTGGTTCTAGTTGTAGCATTGTAGCAGGAGAGGCCGGCATTTCTCGCAGTCGAAACCCTCCACTGGAACTAGTAGGCGGGCATCCGTTGTAGTGAATCGTACGTTTGAATGAAGCATACTGTCCCTGATGTTCCTCTAACGAGGCGGCGTCACGTGAGTAGTACGCGATGGGAGGAGCGGCCTTCGTGCGACCCGATGCACGTGAACACCTGCCAAGCATGACAACTGTCGAGCGTGTGCGTGTCGGTTTCCGTTCGAAATCGACTGTAAAGACTTAGGACCAAAAACGAAGCTATTGGCTGCTGCTGTAACGCACCACCTAACGCACCACCTAACTTCTTCCTAGTCTAGGTCGAGAAATGTCTCGACAGAAATCGGACTACGGGAGTTGAAGGTTGAGTTGGGAGAGAAAGGTTGGCTTGGTATTCCAAACCTCAACTTTGAGGCTTGGGACTTTCCAAACCAACAGAAGTGAGGTTTGGGAAGTTTTCCAACCCAACCAAAGGTATGTGCAAGGTTGGATTTCCAACCAATGGGAAGTTGACAGTTGTTGTTACAATCCACACAAAGTTTAAAACAACCATACATTGTGCTAAGTTGGGTTTTCCCCAACCAAACTAAAGTGCCACATAGGCTCCAAGCCTATTAGCTACCCAACCATGGAAGCCATGGTTGGGAAGAGCCCCAAGGGGTATTGAGGAAGGGGTTGGAGCTCTCAAGCTCATTCCCACTTCCCAACTCCAACAATCTAACTTGGAAATGGGATTTTCACTCTAAGTCTTTTGGTTCTCCTAACAAGCTCTCCTACACAACTAGACTTGTGATTCTTCAAGGACAAGCTCTACAAGAAGCTACCTACCTACTTGCTAAAGCTCCATCAACCTAATTCAAGCTCTCTTGCTCATCTCAAGCTTCAAGGATATTATCAAGGCTAGATTACCCCTTGGTGGGGTTAGTTAAGTTTGGAAGCCTTGTATCTTGATTCTATATAAGTTGTCAAGGAGGATTTATATTTAACACACGGTTGCCCGTTGTTATAAGGGCCGTGGTTGTTACATTGGTATCTAGAGCTAAGGTTATCCTAAGCCTAGTGGAAATTTTGCCCCTATAGATTTTTTTTTATAGATCTTGGAGTTGTGGTTTCTCTTTAAGAGAACACTCAAGATCTGGAAGCTTGAAGAGTTCAAGATCTACAAGATCTACAACTTCAACTTCAAGCTAAGAAGAGAGATTTATCTCTCTTGCCCACTTTTTGGTGGAAGACTCTCTACTGTTGAGTAGTGGAGTATAAACTAAGATCTGGAGGATTTGTTGAGGGTTATTCAAGTTCTCTTTATTGAGACTTGGATAGACTCTGCCCTTTCACTAGGTGATTGTGAGTGTTAGCAACAAATCTGTTACATTTGGTAACTTTGAGTTATTCTGTAGAAGAAATTTCTTTTATAAGAATTTCTTGCTTTACCATTGAGGTGGTAAAAGCACTTTAACAGAATCAACCCAGATCTCTAAAGCTCCCTTAATCCTTATGGCATCTGGCCAAGAGAAGGACATGGCAAGGGAGGAAGGGCCCACTGCACCTAATGAGGTGGTGAACAATGCTGCTGATATTGACCTCAATCAAGATGAGGCAATGGCTGACATTGAGCTGGATGACATTGAGAACCTGAACTTGGAGGATGAGGATAACTATGTTGAAGTTGATAACCATGGTGAAGCTGATAACCATGGTGAAGCTGATAACAATGGGAAGGAGGACAACACCGGTGACAAGGAGAACACTGGTGATGAAAATGACTTCACTGACGGTGAAGGCATGAGTTATCCTGTCTCCGAGGAGATTGTCCAACTCCAGGCTAAAGTGTCAACTCAGAATATCACCATCTTGCAGCAGCAGAAGTCCATTGATGGACTCACAAAGCTGGCTAACAAGCTTAAGGCTGAGTTGGGCGTTGTTACGAAGGAGGCTTGCCAATTCCGTCGCAGCCTGGGCACTAAGAAGCACCAAATTGAGGAGCTTCAGGATAATTGCAACAATATGCAAGCGTCAATCAACAAGCTTTATGAGCATTTGAGGGAGATTAGGAGGGAAGGCATTTACCAGCCTCCTCCTGGGCGTAGGCCCGCTCCTGCTGCTCAGACGACACCCGCTCCGCCCGCACCTCCGGCGGTAGGCGCTGCGACGGCTATGCACCAGCCACCTCCAACTGAGAACGCACCCTTTGGGTCTCTCTCGGCGCCTCTGCCTGACTTTATCCATAGCAAGACGGAGGTGGAGCTTTGGCTTGACCTGGTGGATACCACCATGACCCTTGCGAATGTGCGCCCCGAGGCTCGCGTCCCCGCAGCTACTCGTGCATTGGATGAGGTGGCACGCAGGGCGGTGTACGGCGCTAAGAAGCAGGCGCAGGGACTGTTTGCATGGCCGGAGTTCTGCACCGCGTTGAGAGAGGCGTTCATGGTAAAGAAGTCCGACCTGGAACTTCGCGGACGCCTCGAGAGTATTAAGTGCCGTGACCGTTCGGTGCAGGACTATGCGGTCGAGTTCGAAGCCGCAGCACGCTTGCTCCAGAAACCCTTGTCCGATGAGGAGATGATGCACATCTTCATGAAAGGCCTTCCTGTCAAGCTGCAGCAGGCACACGTGACAGGTGGCATGACCAATTGGACGACTTACAAGGAAATGAAGGAGCAGGTGACCAAAACGGACAACATCATTCGCACGTACGTGTTTGGCACCGATAAGCCAGGCCAGCAGCCCCGTGCTGAAGGCTCTGGTGGTCATGGGAACCGACCCCAGAATGCCACGGGTGGAGGCGGTTGGAACAAGCGGCCTTTCCAGCAGCGTGGTCACCAGCCCGGGCCGCAGGCCAAGCGAGCTAACGGATGGGGAGGGCGTGGCCCTAACACCCCAGACTTCTCCGATAAGCAGTGTAGGCGCTGTAAAAGGACGGGGCACATCGAAAAGCAGTGCCGTGACAAGCCTAAGCCAAGCGGCGCTGGACCTTCTGGAACGAAGGATTCTCAGAAACCCAACTAGGGTGTGGGTACCTAGTTGGAGGAGTAGATCGAGTGGATGAGGCATATGTGCTATGCGATGCTGATATATTAAATCTAGAGAAGCTTGCTGATTGCAAAGTCTCTTGTTTGTTTGCCTCTTCTTTTAATAAAAACTCTGTTTTTTATCCTCGATCGTACCCACTTGCGAACATTTCCATAGAAGCAATGCGGGATAAGTTTTCAATTATTTTATGTGGCTTGGACATTCTGCCTTCTGTCATTGAGACTGTGAGTCGTTGCACTCAAGAGCACCCCCTAACTTTGGTCGCGTTGGTGACTCGCACAGTGAAAGGCGAATTGTTCCATGCGCTTCGTGGATGGCCGGTCCTAGCGGCGTGGGACAAGGGACACCATGTGTGGTGGACCAACTCTCAGTCACATGGACGCGCTCGTCACAACGTCAAGGTGTACTTCAAACCTTCGACGAGTATTGTGGCATGTCCGCCCAAAGCATCAACAAAATTTGTTGCTTGTGGGTAGCGTGAACGGGGAAAACGCAAAAATCCTTGTTGACACGGGTGCAACTGTTTCCCTCTTTGACGAAAAGTGGGCCACAGCACGCACGATCCTCGTTGAAGGACCGTCTTGCCCCATTCGCCTTGGTGATGATAGCATCATCCCAAGCAAAGGGCAGACACGGATCAACATGGAGATTGAGGGTTATCACGAAGAGATCTGCGCGTATGTTTTACCCGTTCTCGCAGGCGTCGACCTTGTCCTTGGAATGGATTGGCTTCGAGCGAATGAGGTCAAGCTCGATTTCCAGGACAATA